AGGAAGCTCAATGATGTAAACATTTGATTAAAAATAAAAACATGGTATTTAATAAATATTAGCCATGGCACAAGAAAATTATTTTTGAATCATGTAGACTTGGGTGCAATTTAAACAACTTTGAGCTTTAAAAAAAAAATCTCACTTTTAATGTGTTTTGCACATTTGGTATAACTTGTCTTTGGTCATGTTATCTTCTTATGTAGTAACTTTAGACAGGTGACTTATGGGAGCAGAAGTCCAGTTTTGCTCCTGTTATTTTTTATAAAATTGCCTTCTAACTAGTGCAAGACACGTCCACATTTGGGAAGCCATTCTGTATACAGACTTAGAGCAACAGATGCACATACGTCAGAATTACAGCATACAAGTGAACTGTATTATCTGTGTCTTAGTGTATAAATGTTGGGTCACTTAACCTAAGAAACTGAGCTATTGTTCTTTACATTTGCATGTGTCTTTTGCATGGGCAAAATGTTGCCTAGACTTTGCTCTTAATGTTGTTCTAATAATCTCAGCTGCATTGTAAACCGTTCCCACACATAGTGCCTTAAATATTTGAGGTTGTTAATGTTATTACCTATCTATAAATGTTGAGGACTGCAGCACTTAATATTCAGATCTACTCTTTAGTTTTCTTTTGATAGCGTAATGTTCATTTTTGGTTTTGTGTGGTATGATTTCAGATAGTAGCTGTTTTTTCCTTATTAAGAGGGCAGCATGTTTGCTGTAGCTGAATTGTGCTGATCTTTCAGAATGATCTAGCTTCAAGAAAAGTAAGCAGTTAGTAGTGCTTAAGAAAAATTGATTCAGTATCTAATGGATAGTTGATAACTGTCACAGCACAGCATTTTATATACTGTTAAGTGAAACTGCAATACAATCAAGTTTATTTTGGGAGTGTTTGCTGTATAATTGGACTTAATAAAATGTTTAGAGGTGCAGTAGGCATGACTTTGAGTAGATAATGAAAGAAAATGCAAAATACTCATTGATTCATGGTGTGGTTTCATCTTAGCTTGGGCAAACCATGCAGTATTTAATAAATAGTAGCAGAATATTTACTATTGAAGCTTGAAAAGATGTGAGTTCTTTGTGTGCAATTTTTCATTTATGCATGTGAGAGGGTTTTTGTTTTTTGGTTATTTTTTAAAAGTATTTTTACATTGTAGTAATTGTTTAGCTTGTTGGTGGTGTCTGCTTATTTAATACATTCCGTCAGGGACAGAAATTACATGCTTTTTTTCCTAGGAAGTGTGTCTTGGGTTTTTCCCTTCCTTTTTCTTTCTCCCTTGGTGGTGATGGTGGTGATGTTTAAATGAAGTTGCTTTTACAGCACCAAAGACTTAATCATCCATTTCCTATATAAAAGGTAGCTACTTTTTGCATAGACCTCAAGTATATTGTAGTGTAGAGGTGGAATTTAAGGAAAGGTATTTAACTGAGGCTGTGTTTTAGCTTACAGGCAAGTAATAAATTGTATCATTTATCTTGAATGTATTATAGATAAGCTGCTATATAACGATTGCCACTTCAGATAGCTGTGAAATTAGGTGATTAACTAGTTGTTATTTAGCCTTCTGATTTCTGTATAAGTCTAATTACATGAAATAGAAGTTGAGGTTTTGACTTTTTACTTTGCTTTTCTGTTTGGAGTGTCATTGTAACTACTGTATTGTAAATGATGGAAAATAATTGCATATGTTATTTTGGGGTGTGTTATTTGCATCAGTATTTTATCTCTATTAATGTTTGTGCTCATCACTGCATATAAAAACTTGGATGTATCAATGTAACTTAATTTTTTAAAATTTTCATACTGGCATTTTAGACTCTTGAGAAAGCTGTATCTTGCAGGCTTGACTTAACTTTTTTTCCTTAAAAATCTGGAATATAATCTTACAGCATTTACTGGAATAAACAGTATAAAGCATTTGAGTGTAAAACTCCAACTGTTTTGGATTTACAGCATTTCTTTAATAAATTAATTGCATACCACTAGTACAGCTCTAGTACAGCCTTGACAATAAGCTAATAATGGATAAACTTTTTTTTTACTCCATTAACACAGCAGTGTTTTATTTAATAATCATCAGTGAAATAAATGTGCCTGAAATTGATTTTAAAGATTACAGTATTAAATCATAAAAACCAGCAGTACATTTTTAGTCACACTGAAAATGAAGGACTTAATTTTCCCCACAAGTTTCAGTGTTTTTAGTAATCAATTCTATGCATTTTATATTATATAAATAGAAGTATATATATAATACACATAAAAAGTAGACTAAGATTAATTTAAAAGATTATTTACAGATGACACATGAATATGGAGTCACTATTTAAGTAAATTTGCTGCCCTCCACAGCCTTCTAATTTTATTTATATGGTCCAGCAGATTACTGGTATCAGCTCACTTCTTGGAAAAGAATCAGTGCTGGCAAAGGATGTTTCAGAAACACCAAGGGCAAAAGATTGATTGTATCACAATAGGTACAAAACTGGCGCAGTTTTCTTTTCGTTCAGGGCCACATTTCCTCCCTAAAATGGTTCATTTTCTCTAAGTTCCAAGACTGAAGCAGTCTTGTGAAATTGTCAGTAAAGTGGTAAAGGTTAACATTTTCATACACCAGTAATGTTTTTAAAAGGCAGGTTGCAGTTAATACACTGTTTTTAGTTACTTGGAATCATGGGCTTTTTAATATGTTTAAGTTAAAAATTAATTAAAATAATTAAAAATTTAAAAATCCTGTCAGGGTCTAAATTTAGCACATGGAGAAAGGAATATGGATGTGTACCCTCTTAAAAACCATTTTTATCAGTTTCCTTTAGTTTTAATGCTTTCTTAAATAAAACACTGCATGATTTCCGAGTTGCATATTTGCATACTATATTAATTTACAAATAGTTTTTTTCTAATCAGCTATCCTGATCTTCTTTCATTCAGGATGTTTAATTAAATGTTATTTTTTCATTTTTTAAATCTCTACTGCTAATTTTTAACTTGGTCTGTGTTGAGTAAAAGTTAAATCATACACTGCAAGGTGTAGGAGGATTTGTTTTCATGAACCCAGTGATATAGATTTGATTACTAAGTTTGAACTGTTAACCGTTTAACGATTTTAGACTTGTGGCTTTCTTTCTTTGATTTATTTGTTTTGCTTTTACTTCTATGCTACACTAGTTTGCCATGTAGCAATTGCACTGTGCAATATTACAATAAGGACTGGGAAAATTTTTATGGATGTAATGTCTATTACAGTTTGCGATAGTATTTCTCTCTAGTTCTCAGTGATTTAAATGTGACCAAGCCTTCTGTACTTTGTCACAAAAAGCGGGTTTTCCAGGTGACTATTTTGGTGAGTGTCAAAATAAGAATTTATGGTGTATTACTGTTGATTCACTTTGAATTAAAATATATATATTGCAGCAAAAACCTTGTTGACTCTTTTTTTTCAATCCAGTACTGCTTACGAGGTAAGAAGGGAAAGGCAAACAATACTGGAGTACCTGAATTATATCATCTTTTTCACTTTCAAAGCCAGCTGTGCCAGAGTAATATTATCGTCATTATATTGTGCATAGGCACGGCACAAAGTGTTTAAGTGAGTTGCCCATAGTCACATTGCTAGTGAGTTCACAGTAGATATGAATCAGGCTACCTAATCATAGTTACTTGCCTCTGGTTGTTTTTATTATAAATATAATAATTATTATTTTTCTTGACAGAGGGTTGAGTTAGGCCTTGCTATGTAGTTCAGGTTGGCTTTGAAATGACTGTAGTGCAGGCTGGCCTCAGAGCAGTCGTCCTGCCTCAGCCTTCTGTGTGCTGGGATTACAAGCGTGCGCCACCACGCCCAGCTCTCCCCTGGCTCTCAAACTGAAGTTTGACACAGTGTTCCGAAGTACCAGCAATCACCAAATAACTATGGACTGTTTTCCTTGAGTACCAATTTTTCTCAAATATCCTTGAGAGAAATAACCATGGTTCAATATGCATAGATAAAGAATAGTAATTCATGTGGATTTTAAAATAGACATGACATTTCAGAAGAATGTAGGCCAATTTATGTCCTCAAACATGGTTCTCTTACTTTCTGGATCTGTAGGGAAGTTTGGGGGTAGCATTCTACTACAGCACAGTGATTTGTTTTGCTCTTAGTTTTGGTGCTAGAGATCGAGTCCAGGGCTTCATGCAAGAACACACCATCGAGAATGTATATTCTCTCTGTAAACTTTTCATTGAGGCACAGCGTGCGTACTCTTCAGTGTTCATATTCCTTGTCAGTGGTCATTGGAATAGTTTCCATCCCTTAGTGCTGCTACAAATAGTCCATATCTTTTGGTGAACATATTCATGCATTTGCTTTGGGTATATAAGCATGGCATTACTAGGTCATTTCATTAGCTACTACCAAATAGCACATACTCCAAAGTATTCAAATTAATTTACACATGGTAATATGAGGAGGGTTCTTAGTTGCTTAATTTCCTCACAAACATTTTTTGCTGTTTTTTTTTTTTTTTTTTTTTTTTTTTTTTTTTGTACTGGGGATTGAACTCGGGTCCTTGAGCTTGCGAGGCAGGTGACAGAAGTACTGAGCCCCTTATTTTTTGCTTCTTACAGTCATTATTTGAAGGGGATTTCTTTAAAACATTAACATTTTCATTTAGGCCAAAGCACTGATCCCACATACAGATGAAATCCAGATTTTGCTATTTGAAAGCAAATTGGACTGTTGGGAATACTAAGAAGCGTGGATCTAGGAATATAAAATTTGTTTCTAAAAGAGGTAAAGGATGAGAACAGTCTGAGCAACAGATTTAGCCGGTGCCTGGCACCGAGAAAGGTATGTCATGAGTCACTGAAGATATTATTGAAGTACTCACATTCCAAGCACTACATGCTGAGTGTGTCTCCGTGGACAAAGCAGAAGGCTTTCACTCTTGCAGATCTTACCTTATGATTGGTGACTTTATACAACGAGTACATTCAGGTAGGGTAAGTGAAGAAGATGCAGTGGTCAAATGACCAGGGCAGTGTGTCAGTGCCTCATTCAAGAGTTGTTTTTGGCTGTGAGAAGGAGAATGGTAAGTCAGCTCACATTTGCCTTGTATATAATTTTTAATTGAGTCAGTTAATGGATAATCTTACTTTGCACCCAAATACTTCATGCATCTGTGAGAAGAATGACTTTCTCAAACCATGAAATCTTTTGAGCAAGAATAACAATTCTGTAACATTTAATTTTCAGTCTGTAGTCAAATTTTCCGAGCAGTTTGAAGAATATCTGTTATAGCTGTTTTCTCCTGTTTCAGGAGCCAGTGTTAACTCATTGCAGTTGGCCGTGGCATGCCTCTGATTACTTGTCATTCAGAGCAGTCTCCCATCTTTTTTTTCTTCTTAATGACATTGAAGTTCAGGCTAGAACATTGAATTTTTTGGATTTGTCAGCTGTTTTCTGCATGCTCTCCGACTCCTCTCTTTTCTTTAAAGGAAGCCAGGTCCAAGTCTCAATTAAGTTCAGTGTCTGTTCATTTGTTAGGACAGCTGTGGAAGCTGAGTCCTTATCAGGTTGGGGAGGCACAGAACGTCAGGTTTCCACTGTCACTGATGACACTTGGTTGAAGAGGTGACTAGCAAGTCTCTTGGTTTTGGCTTGCTTGTGCACATACTATTTCTCTCTTGCCTTACTCCCTCTCTTGTCTGTCTTGTCTCTTCCTCCTTGCCCTTTCTGTCATCACTATGGATTCATGAAATTTATTTAATAAATTGTCTTCAGTTTGTCTTTTGTTTTGTTTTTTGTTAACATAACCTTGTTAGTCTGAATGTTTCCTTTCTTCCTGGCCCAGTAAGTTGTTTTGGCTCCCATTCTTCATTTCCTGCCTCAACTCCAAAGAAGCCCAGGTTTCAGGAGACCCAGTATGTGTAGTTTTTTTTTTTATTATAAAATAAGACATAAAAATAAGTCTGTTTTTTTTTTCTTGTACTAGTGTCCAATTCTGGCATCCTGGGTGCTGCTGACCAAAATTAGTCCCTAGTTTAGCTTTAATGCTGTATTCCTCATAGCTGATTTGATTTTCTTTGGAGAGGGGTTGCTTGTCCAGCAACAAGTGAACATCTGGGGATGTGACTAATCTTGAGCCCCTCTTAGCGAGGCACAGTGACTGCCGATGATAATTGAGAGCCACACCGAACAGAGGGAAGGGGTGTGATGGTGTCAGAGGGTATTTGTGGAGGAAGTCATCTAATCAGCGCAGTGTGTAGTGCCGTTTCCCTTAACGTTCAAACTTTTGTGCCCAGTGAGTGTTGAATAGATGTGGACACTAGAGCTTTACATTATTTAGCAAATCTTAAATAGTGTTTGTATTATATCCACAGTGAAGATGGGTCTGAACCAGATGATGAGGTAAGATCAGGAACTGCAGCAACTTCACCATGGCCTCCTTCTTCCTTCTTTCACGGTTTCTTACAGTTGTCTGCTCTTCCCGCCAGCTAGAAAATCTGAATTGCGCCATTTTTATCTTGTAGACACTGTATCTTTGACACTTGCTCTGTGCCTGACCACAGTAAAATGTTAAGTGGATGAGATCAACAGTCTTGTTGAATGGAATTTAGGAGGCCCACAATTTATTATCTGCTCTGCCATAAATTAGCATGGAAACGAGGTGTGGTGGCACACACCTGAAATCCCAGCACTCAGGAGGCAGAGGCAGGAGGATTGCCATGAGTTTGAGACCATCCTGGGCTGCATTGTTCAAGACATGACTGGAATACCTAGATGTCTCGACACCAACACGTTAGGTACTATGATTTTTGACAAAGTTTGGGCTTCAGTTTCCTCATTGGTAAATGACAGAGCTTGGGATTTCAAACTGAGATCGACAACAGCTGGGCAGGGTGGGGAGATGAGCAAAGGAAGTGATGCAGACTGAGTGGGGACTGTTGAGTGTGGAAAGTAAAAGCCCCAGGCAAAGGAGTCAGGAAGACGTGGACGATGGCACCACCCAGTGTGCACCAGCCTCTAGTCTTTTGGGAAGATGAATGTTGACAGTTTAGTTTAGACTTTTTAGCATTTCAGATACAGTGTGTATCAAACGAGTTATCTGCAGGCATGAGTTGGTCTGTGAGTATCCAGTTGCTGAATTGTGGATTTCATTTCTGCTTTGACTTTGGGTAATTCACTGCTGTACCGCTGTGTTGTATTCCGGCCAGCAGGGGGAGAAAGTTCTCTAATTTTTCTTTCAAGTTTGATTTCATAAAAATCAAAAAAAGTTTTTGAAAAAGTTTTTATCTTTTTACGAGATGAAGCTGAAGTAATGGGCAGGGTAGGTTATGTCTCATAGAAGATAATATAATGTGAGAAGTTTCTAATTTTTCTAAGCATTTTTTAAAATGAGAGCATTCCAAGCTTCAGTGAATTCTTCATTTACTACTTAGACTGATGACTTATGGATCAAAGGAATGACTTCCATGCATCCATCCTTTCCTCTGTAGAGGAACATGTACACCTTCCTTGTAGTCAGGAGAATATGTGGGCCTTTTACCTCCAGCAAAAGAAAGAAAACAGGGTTTGGCAGCTTTAGAAAGAGGAAAAAGTAAGAAAAGAGCCACTCAGACCTAGACTGTACCAGTCATATATACTTCATTCTCACAACAACCCCTTCCTGTGCCAAAATTTATTTTTTACTTTTCTTGTTTTCAAATTTTGCAGAAAAAAAGGCTCTGTAGTTGCTTGATGAAAGCACCAAAAAAGCAGTGTTGAAATTTTGGCCCTTTGGACTCTGTAGCTCATGACTACATTCCCTCAATTAAATCCGGTGCTGAGCAGCAAAGACGAGGGAAGAGAGGATGAATACATATTTACTTACATGTTTGATATAAATTTTGTTGGTACATAGAATGTGGTGGCACATAATTTATAAATAATGAGAGTATTTGGCATTCTGTTATAAATTCCATATTGGTTCACATGGGATAGAATCAAAGGAAGTTGATTGAGTTTTGCCAAAGCCTTGTAACTATAGCAACTTAAAGTTAAAATGCAGCTGTGACTGGACAAAATCAGTTATGAACAAATGCTTGATTATGATGTCACAAAGAAGTTGCTCGTGTTATTGATGAATATTCTGGCATGTTCTTTTTTGTTTTATTTTTATAGTTAAGACCAAAGTCAGACAACAACTTGACTTGTTCAGCAATGACATGAGTGAATTCTTTGCTTAATCTGATGATAATTTTCAAATATTGGAAGCATATGGCATCCCTCAATTTTTTTGCTATTCATATTATATGGCTGCTGGCATGTTTATCTATCTATATATTCTTTCTTTCTCTCTTTGCACTGGTGATTGAACCCAGGGCCTTTGTTTTTGTTTTTTGGTACCAGGGATTGAACTCAGGATCTTGTGTTTGTGAGGCAGGTGGCAGAACCACTGAGCTAAATACCTGACTCTAGGGCCTTTGTATTGAGCTACATTCCCCAGTCCTTTATTAATTAATTAATTAATTTATTTATTTATTTATTTTTGAGACAAACATCTCTCTAAATTGCCCAAGCTGGTCTCAAATTTGCAATTCTCCTGCCCCAGCATTCTAGAGCTGTGGGATTATAGGCACACACCACTGTGCCAGCTGATACACATTTTAAATTTTTAATATTATCTCCACTACTTTGTCAACTGTAGACAGCCAACAAAATAATAAATCAATCCCTGACTTGCAGAGTTTACCAATTTTCATAGTGTGAATACTCTCATCACACATAATTTCCACCTTCCTATGTGATGTCACTGAACAGAGTTGGAGGGAGATATACATCATTATAGACATAGCAGACATAAAACTTAAAGAGCATACAGATAAGAGTAAGATGTATAGAATAATAAAGTAATGTTCTGTACACAAGCACCCCTCACTTTGGACAGTAGTCTAGAGCCATAAAAATGACTGTTCAAGCTGAAACCTTACAAGTGATGGAAAACTACAATTGTTCCATGACATTTAAATTTTATTGTTAATGTATTATAAAATCCCTTGCTGTTGGTTTTCAGTGTACCGGGTAAGAAAAAAATGGTAAAGCTAAGCACCCCCTCCTCTCTCTGAGGATTAAACCCAAGGAACTCTGAGCTGCATCTCCCAACTTCCCACCCTCCTTTTTAAAACTTGAAAAATTTGAGACAGGGCCTTGCTTGGTGAATTGCATAGGCTGCCATTGAACTTGCTGTCCTCCTGCCTCAGCCTCCTGTATAGCTAGGAATACATGCTTGCACTACTATGTCTGGCTGTTATATTGCTCTGTAAAAAACTTAACCTGCAATTTATGCATTGCTTACATTCTTCTTACTGTGTAACAGAGATGCATCTCTTTTATACTTTGGCAAATTGTCATATTCCTTTCTAAGTTTGGATTACCTTCTAGCATTTTATGGTTTGTGCTTTGAATGTCATGAAATATCTCTGGAATTCCTCTCATGTGAATGTTTTTTCAGTACCGTTTCCTTTCTGGTTTGTCTTCAGCTCTTCCCCCCACCCTGCCCCCAAATGGAATTGAGCTCAGGACCTTGCACTTGCCAAGCAGGCGCGGGGCCACTGAGCTACATCTCTGGTCCAGTCTTCAGCCTTTTTGTCAGAAGCACTTGGCTCACTTATGTAGCTAAGTCTGCCTCTCCTGTGTTCCCTGGCTGCATCTGCATGGTCTCCAGAAGAGTGTGTGGATCCGTGTACCCACTCACAAATACTGCTTCTATAGGATACTTTTATTGCCCACATGATCGCCTTTCATTACTTTCCTGCACCTTCATCTTTGTGGCCACTTCTCTCCTTTGATTGTCCATTTTTATAAAATGTTATATGGAATCCCAATATTCTGGGAGGCTCAGGCAGGAGGATGGTGAATTTGAGCCCAGCCTGGGCAATTTAATGACTTAGTAAAACCCTTTCTCAATGAAATAAAAAAGGGCTGGTGATGTAGCTCAGTGCAGAGGCCCTGAGGTCAATCCCTAATACCACACACACAGGCACGCAAACTAATGTGGGTCATCACTAGAAGACCAGAAAGTAACACAACCACATGCTTTGCTGTCTGTGC